CCTGTTACTACCACACACCAAATCCGGTTGTTGATACTTCCTGGCTTGTGTAGCCACTAGGTAACAAAAGCTCAACACTGCTCCCTAGCATCCTGGAGCACTTCTGTTGTCTTTTGTACGTGATTCTGAGTTTGTACATGCTTAGGAGTTTGTACGTGTTTTGGAGTTTGTACGTGCTTTGTCTCTAAGGGCCACCATAAATATACTTTATTTATTCACTCCACATAAAATGTAATAAATAAATATAATACAAAAAAACAACTATTTACATTTTAAACTTTTAACTATTTAAATTTTCAGCTTTTTCCTTTTAAACAAATTTAACGTGAAACAACACAAAACACTGCAAACCACACCACAATTAAATATAAATTAAAATATTAAAACAAAAAGAAGATGCACATTCTCTGTCATATGGGCCTGTATGATTTCTGAATCCTTTATCATCTGCAACTGAAAATAGTGGATGATTACTATACCTTTCTAATGTGACGTTGTTGCCCCTGGCTCTCTTTCTCTCTGGCTCTGTTCCTGTGCTACTGCCAGTGTAACTAACGCCCCTCCCCCTTCTGCCCAGCGCAAAGTACAGGCAGCGCACGGAGTTTAGCGGAAAAAAGGGCGAGAGAGAGGGTGAGAGAAAGGAAAATAAAAAACCTCACGGCTCCCAATAAAGACCCGGCTCGAGTTGTTCACTTCAAAGACCCGGCTCTAAGAGCCATTTTGTTCGCGAACGACCCATCACTATTTAAAATCGTTCCAGCTGTTGTTGTGATATCATGGTGGCATGTTGGCAAAAAAATGACCTCAAAACCTCAAAATAGAACAACAAAAAACTCACAGTTACCTTAACCCATTTACCACGGCTGCCAACCCATTTTACATTTTCAGCTCAGTTTTTAAAACCTTACAATCTACCTACAGCCCAGCCCATTCAGCAGTAAATTAATGTGTAACCTCGTATTGTGGATAGGTTATCTCAGTTGTTCTCCAGACTTAAGTTTGATCCGTTTACAGGATCCTGCCATGCAATTGCATTTGTCCCTTGCCATTGGGAACCGTCGGGTTAACTTTTTTCGAGTGGAAAAAAGTTAGTGTTCATCTTCCAGCTTCGCTGTGCTGTGTTTATATCATGCTAACCATATCTCTGTAGCTAGCTACCACGTAGCACATTATTATATAGGGCTTTGGAGTTGACGTCACGCCACAGTGCATTGTGGGATCGCGGCGCCATGACAGAAGGCCACAAATCAAAACAAACACACTGTGTTGGAAGCAGGACTGTCAGAACCATGCTTAAAACCAACGCAAAAGACAAAGGGCTGTATCGCGACCGATGGTGCCCAGACGCCGAGAGACGGTACTTGGAAAAAATAGCGTGCATCGGTAGCCCAACTTCAATAACTCTACAAACGGCGCTACTGTTTAGTTTTCTGTCTTTATTTATGTCGAAAGTACGGAAGAGGATTAGGGCCACTGGAAAAAAAAAGTGGGCATGTCTTTTTTTTTTTCTTCTTTTCCTGAATTCTGAGAAAAAAGTCAGAATTCTGACTTTTTTCTCAGATTTTTTTTCCCAGTGGCCCTAATCCTCTTCCGTACGAAAGCTATAGCAGAGCTGTATGTTTTAATTTTTCAGAAATCCCTCAGTCAGAACGTGGTATATCATCTTTAGATGGAATCTAGCGGGCTAACTTCAAACTCCGTTAAATTCCATAAATTCTGTTATCAAGGATGCCTGGATGTTAGACCAAATTGTTACACCTGGTACAGCAACTACACTGATCATTTTATTTTATATATATGTATATATATATTTCTGTATATATTATATTATAATATATATTGAAAGCTGAGGTTATTCTGAACCGAAAAGCATTCACTTATAGTATGATTTCTGACCATTTTACAGACAAAATTACCAAATAAGTCCAGGTGCCCTGTATGACACATGGGTTAAAGGGTTAAAGTTGTTTTTTCTTTTTTATTGAGTTGAAGTTAAAACTGTACATGGAAGTTTCTCTGCTTGAAGTTCCAAGTAACGGCAGTGACCCACTGCCAAACGTCTTGGAAAAACCTGTCATGCAACATCTGTGCAAGCGTGCAACTGGTGGGAGTTAAACCCAGCTTTACAGTTTTTCTTAATCTCCTTCGTAACACAGCTAGATATAGATGTAGATGTTTGTTTTTATTGATCAATGAGCATCAAGGGTCAATGATCCCTAATTCCCTAACCATTATTGATCACTGTTAAAAAAAAACTGCTTTCAGAGTTGGATCCCCAAAACCATCAAAAAGAGAGTGTGCAGCACCTTTGTAGAAGATTCTGTCAGGTACTGTGATCTCTGTCTTTTGATAGTGACATGTCTGTATTTTGAGTCAGCTCTCACAGTGATGTTTTTATCCCTCTACATCTCTCAGTAATGGTGCATTGTGTCAGTGTGGGGCTGCGAGAAATGACCATGCCTCTGTGGCTCTTGGAGACTATTTCAGCACTGCAATTGTGAACCACTGGGAAAGCATGCAGCACTCCTCTGAACAACCAACTGATGCATTTGGAGAGGTGCAATTTGCAGGGGCCAGCAAGAGGCACAGCCATGTGGGTGGATTTCTTTTTCTTTTTTTTGCACAATTCTTTATCTCTAGAGCAGGGGTGGGCAACTCCAGGCGTCGAGAGCCGGTGTCCTGTTTTAGATAGCACCCTGGGTCAACACAACTGAATCAAATGATTAGATCATTAGCAGGCCTCTGAAGAACTTCAAGAAGTGTTGAGGAGATAATTTAGTCATTTAAATTAGCTGTGTTGGATCAAGGTCACATCTAAAACCTTCAGGTCACCGGCTCTCGATACCTGGAGTTGGCCACCCCTGCCCTAGAGCCTTAAAGTATTTGAATATGTTTGCATGTTCTAAAAAGCAATGCCTGTAAAGGTGATTGAAATAAATATCCAGACAAACCCTGAGTTGTGGTGTGCAAATGACCAAACACTGATCAGATGTCATATTTATTTGAGCATCCTTTGTTCATTACTTTTATTACTTTCATTACTTCTTAAATCCTGTGCATTGCTGACATGTGCTTGTTCCTCTTAATCTGTCAAATCTCTAAACTTAGTTTCTGCGTCTGTCATGGAGCACTGAGCCTTTTTTTGTGTACAACATATTGACAACCCATTGGGGTCTTCCTCCACCCAACCTGGTTGTTTCTGTTGTGGGTGGAAATAGCAGGACACAGATAAAGACCTGGGTACGGGAGATCCTCAGACAGGGACTGGTGAAAGCATCACAAAGCACAGGTAAAAACATTAGGCAAGGATAGATGAAAATCATCACATCAAATGCTACTATGACAGTCTTCCTGACAAACTCATGTGTGATGTTCACCATGTGTCTAGAATATGTGTGTGCTGTTTGCTTAGCAGAAGCTGTCATAATTTTCTCAATGACATTTAAAAAAAATAAAAAACAATCTAAAAATGTGTCTTCAGTGAACTTCCTTTATTTTTAAGACTATAAAACTATATAGGCTGTCTTGATATAGTCATACATTGAAGTACCAACTATTCAGTTCAATTCAATTTCATTTAGATAGTGCCAAATCACAACAACTGGATTTAATAGGAAGCCAATGAAGAGAAGCCAATAAAGGAGAATTATGAGCTTGTTTTTTTTTTTTGAATGATGGTTCATGTTTTTATTTTGCCTCTTGTTGTTCTATGTTTTAAACATTTACAATAGAGTTCAGAACAACACAACCAGAGACTTCAGATGCAGGGCCATGAATACTAGCACAGTGGCAGGTCTAATAAAAATTAACACTGTCAGTCCCTCTCTCAAAACAGTAGACATATCTATCTAACAAATGATGCTGCCAGGTCTTTCTTGAACATACTCATGGTGGTTTGAGGGTGAAAAAACGTAGTCTCAGAAGGTCAGTCGCTATGCTAACAACTTCAGCTGTAGTTCAAACATGCTTATGTTTACAGAATAAGGATATATCAACATCAAGCCTCAAAATACGTAAAAGGTGGATGAAGTTTTTGAAATAAACAAGGCCAAGTCCTGATCTTTACCTGACATGGTCAAATAATAGAAATGAAACTCAGCAGCAGAATTTAACTTTGGAAAAGAGCATCCAAGATTACCAACACCAAGTGGAGTGGCCAAAATCCTGTAATAATAAAGAACGGGCATCAGTCAGCGCAGACCTGACCAAAATTGTGGGAAATCTCAGAATAACAGTGGAGAAGAAACTAGATAGATAGGGTGATCTGATCTGATCTACTCTTATTGAGCACAAAGTTTAGGACAAAACAGCCAAGAAAAAAGAAAACATCGGTCACCTCCAATGGACGTCCATGGTTGCTATGTAAAAAACATTTCTCTGAAAATAAATGAAACTGGTCTGGACAAAGTGAATCCTCCCAAAAACATTGCAACATGTAGGGGGTGTGATGATATCCAAGGGAAAAGATGCCTCAAACATTCTCAACAGTCTGACTGACATGTCAGTGCAGAAGGCCGGTGTACCAGGGTTTGGGGGATGATTAGAACACACATAGACCAAGTCTGATCGTATAGCATCAAACCCAGTCTGCTAAAAGGGAAGGAAAAGACCTCCATGTCTTCTTCCTGGACCTAGCCAGTGCTTTTCATTCTGTCCCCCATTTGTTACTTAAACTAGAGTAACCAGCTGAAGGAGGAAATGATGAAAGGGCTTACCACTATCAGAATGACTTCTCTTTATTATATCTTTGACCCCAAATCCAAGCAGTGACTAATGCTTTCTCACACCGATTTTTAATCTGTTCCACCCAGGTGCATGGATATTAACTACAGGTCTGCGCGAAAGGCTTGGTCGGTGTGTTGGACAGGCAGTGAGAGATCATGCAGCTGCGGCATCTTCAGTCTCTCTCAATAAGGTGGTAGCGTTGGGGATTGCTCCGTGGGGCATAGTGGAAAAACGAGAGCAGCTGGTCAACCCTCAGGTAGTACAGTTTACACATTTCTCAAAGCATTAAGAATATCGTGTTAACTTTTACTATACAATCTTTTACTGTAAATCTTGCTTAAAGATTTGATTATATTTGTCTTTTTGAATGTTTTAATATTAGCTGTCCAGAATCATATAATGCTTATATTTCATGGGCACTAATTTCAAATTAATAAGACTATGTGGACCTAATCTTTGAGTGCTCAAGGTGAGGTAAATGTATGCTAATTGTGATTCATCTGGATAATCTTGGGACCAAACTTTGCATCTCCAATAAAAACACACCAAAAGGATGTGCAAGTTTCAGGCCTTTAAGACACCGTGGGAACTGATCAAGGCCAGGAAGAAACACTGGAATAACTGGTTTTCTTCTTTTGCAGGGAAGCTTTCCTGCAAGGTACTATGTCCAAAACATATCACGGGACTCCTGCTCACTGGACAACAACTACCAGGCCTTCCTGCTGGTGGATGATGGGAGTGTGGGCCGCAGAGGAGGAGAGATGGGTTTCAGAGCCAGACTGGAGGAATACATTTCCCATCAGCGCACAGGCATATTAGGTGAGAGATGGCACTATAAAATAAAATATTATATTAAGAATTATAATACTTATTTTGCGAGTGGTTGACTATTTATGAGCCTATCCTAGTTACTGTACAGGGCGTAACAGGTACACCCTGTACAGGTCACCAGTCTGTCACAAGGGCAGGACTACCACAAAGAGAACAATTTGGACTCACATTCACACTTTTGGGCAATTTCAAATCACCAGTTAACCTAACCCCACTAACTGCATGTTTTTGGACTGTGAAAGGAAACTGGAGCACCTAGAGAGAACCCATGCAAACATACAAGGTTCCAGTCAGATGGTGGATTCAAACACAGGACCTTCTTACTTTAACGCAACATTGCTAACCACTATGTTGCCAATGTTTAACCAAGTAAAAAAAAAATCACAGGGTGCGCCATCTGTATCTTTGTTAGTTGCTGTGCCACTCCCATTAAGTTAGTAAAAACATTTTACCAAGATTGGAACGTGTTAAAAATTGTTGTATCTTTTTAAAGGAAGTGGCAGCATTGACATCCCTGTTGTTTGTATGCTGATATCAGGGGATGCAGACATGCTAAAGGTACAGTCTCTGCTTTATATGTTGATTGATAATCACAAAAAATGTTGAGACCTGATATTCAAATTGTGTAAATATTTCGTTCATGGTTTTTGTAACGCCTGTCAGAGAATGGATCGCTCTTTAAAAAGCTGCATCCCCTGGCTGGTTCTGGCTGGCTCAGGAGGCTTGGCTGATTTCCTGAATGATGTCTTGGAGAACCTGTCTTCAGCTCCAGCTGTGCCGTCCTCTGGTGAAGGCAACAGTGAGGCGGGTCCCAGTGTGGATCTTAAAGACAGAGTGTCAGAACGGTTTAAGAAGCATTTTCCTTCGGAAGTACAAACCGACAAACTAGTTGAACAGGTGAGTGCTGAGGCTTTTACTTTGCAAGAGTTGGAGGAAAGATTTTCGGTAGCACTTTGTATTACACCTTGTTAATAACTATTACATATATTATAAGTAATAACCACTTAATATCCAAGTAATATCATGGTAGCAACTGTGGTTACAGTTGAGTAATAGTTCCCTGAAATTTATATGAAAGCATAATAAACATAATAAATAACTGTGCCGTGAAAGAGGGTCTTCTAAACTTTTCTGCAAATCTAATGTATTCATATGTATTACTCTTTTAAACGTAATTATTGACATTTTGCACAAGTGTTTCCAGTTCATTTCGGACTTCCTGATGCTTTTTTTATTCAGCTATCATGACCATGGTATTAAAATGCCGCTTATTACATAAAAACTGCCACAGGTGTTTTCTGGTAGTCATTACTATTCTTAAGGTTGTTTTAAAAGGTTATTAACTGGCTACTACAGGGTTCATTCGGGTGCTTGAAATCTTTACAATGCTTGAATTTTAATATTGTCTTTTCAGGGTTTGAAAGTGCTTGAATTTCAGATGTGGTGCTTAAAATTGCTTGAAAGTGTAACTGTATTTTGCTGTATCTGAATAGTTTTCTTATCAGATAGCGAAATAGAATGAGTAAAATTAACATGCCTGGAGGTTGCCGTTTTAACGAGTATTTGATGGAAAATGACAATGGTTGAGTTTGCATTCTTGAGTCACATGATAGCTGAGTCCTCGTAAGCAATTTTCGAGTACGTGTACGTTACACATGTTAATTTTTAAATTGATTTTTATTATTTTGCTAGATATCAAACGCGCTGGTGAAATGATTGAAATGCACTGAGTGTGATGCAATACTGCAGCGCTAATATAGCATTTAGTTATGACATGGTGATTTATGGAATATGGTGTGAACTTAGCTAACATTGCTTAGCATGGAGTTACTTCCCTCAAGACAAAGCTTTAAACGTTAGCCCAATACATAACTAGCCAACTTAAGGCTTAAAAGCGAAGTTATCACCAAGTAAATAGAATATTGTTTATATTTCTGTGTATTGGTGCAGCTTTTTCAGGTATTAACTCGGTGCCTTTGGCAACACCTAGGGGGAATAATGGTAATATTATCCATTTGGGCACAAAGAATAGACAAATTTTTTGTTCCTCGGCTTTCATTCAAAATCTGTTTATCGTGAGCACCTACACAATAAACACCTTAAACATTGTAAATGGCTTCAAGCTCACACTGAGGCCTGTAGGGGACTATCAGCCACTGAGACATGAGACACATTTATGTGTTTTTGTATATAAATGTTTCACATAAGAAAGAAGCATCAATATCTGTTGAGAAGACTTAATAATTTGGGCTTGCTGTGTATTATTTTTGTGGTGTTTAGTGCAGTTTTCTTGTTTTGTGGTTTTGTGGTTTTTTTCAACAGTAGGTGAATATCTCTAACAAGTTGATTTGTTTACATTTGCACATCTTAATTTTTAAGTAAAATGTGTGTTTTGAGTTTATACACTGCATTCATATTAGTCAACCTGTTTTAACAAAGGAAGAATAAAGGTGTTTAAGTCAACCTAGGGTGATTTGTTTTTATTTTCACACGGTCTTACTGAGGTGATGCGAAGTGAAACATGTTTTTGGTAATGTGCAGCTCTGTTTTCTGCTTATTCTTCAGAAACTACCAGATATATTGCCAGGTAATGACCACACGTCTTGAAGTTAGTTTTAATAGGTTATTTATATGTTATTAAATAGAAACAGGCAGTTTTGCATTTTGCAGCTCTGTTTCCTGATCCACTACCAGAGGTAATAACAGAACTGAGCCACTTACCAAGCAGCTCATATAATGATGTCAATAATTGCATAACCTCAATCTAAATTGCAATAGTGTAAGTATAGTTGTGCTGAAAATAGATAAATCTATTATTGTTGAATGTGAATCAAAAAAGTGACATCATAGGTGAAAAGAAAGGAACTGTGGACAAAGTGGAGCAAAAAGACTCTTCTGAATAGGTTTAGAGCAGCGGTCCCCAACCCCCGGGCCTCGGACTGGTACCGGTCCGAGGCCCGGGGATTGGGGACCGCTGGTTTAGAGCATCAAGAAAAGTGTGTTTTTATAAAAGTTCTAAAAATTGTTTGCTTTTAATCAAACATGAATAAAAACAATAAAATCATACCCCAGTATGACCAGGGAAGAATACAAAAATAGAATAAATATCAAAACTTGTATTTAAAAAATCCAGAGCTGTTTGCCAACTGAAGAAGCAAAATCTCCCCAAGCTCACAGCTTGCCAAAAAAGCATAAAAAGTATAATAAATCCTAGTCCAATCCTAAAGTCTGGTTAAAAGTTGCAATGGGCAGGCAGCATTATCACACATGAAGAAATCTCTACCGTTTCACTCTCCAGGTGCTGAACTCTGGAGGTAACCCATATTGGCATGTGTGTTAGTTATTTATGGTTAGATTTTTTTGTTTGTTTGTCTGTTTTGCTCTGCTCTGTTTTGAAAACATTAGCCAGAAAAGTTACAGAGAGTGCATAAAACTGACTGACATGAGAGATGCTTTCAAGCAGGTGCTATAACATCTGTGGAATGTACTTCATCTCCTACATCTTGTCCCTGTCATCTTGCAACTGTTGTCCAACATTCCTGTTTCCTTTTCCCCATCTTCTATTTCCAGGCTTTTAGCATTTACCAGAATAGAGGTTTGATTACGGTGTACCACGGAGAGCATGAGAGTCCAAATGACTTTGACACTGTCCTGCTTAAAACACTTGTGGGAGGTATGTATAAGTAGACCGTCATAACAGCTGCAACCCCTTTTTATCCTTAATTTAATTTTTTTGTATTTGTCTTTTTTAGCAAGTAAGCAGCGCGCATTAGTTGAGGCAAACCCTTATAGTGATGAGCTGAAGTTAGCAGTAACGTGGAACAGGGTTGACATTGCAAAGAGTGAACTCTTCAATGGCGACATCCAGTGGAAGGTGAGGAGG